GACACCTCATCAAGTATACGTAAAGTTAACGAAGTGAGGGGGATGAGGTGGGAGAAGAGGATATGACTGTGTCATATGTATCATTTTAGTTTCCTATTTTAACCCTAGTGTGTCGGCTAGATGTTGCTCAAATTTAACGCGTCTCGTCTCTAGATATAGATGGCTAAGGGGTGAATGATAAGAACGACATTAAAGAAGTTACAACAATCCCAATAAATTACACGACAAGTTTCATTCAAATTCTTAGACGCTGTCAGTTTGCGTTACTTTAACGTGCATATTTGGGAGGTTAAGGTTTGATAAATATCTAAATGTTAAAACAATCTACGAAGAAATTAATTTGAAATTCGGTGGAGTTTTGGGTATTTTCTATGAAACAATCGATTGGAAAAAATCCATAGACAGAACATTGAAAAGAGCAATCCATTTTATATTTAGTAATTTTTTTTTTTTTTTCTTCCTAAACTTTTATCTTATAGCTTGTTAGGTTGACATCTATTCGTTTGATTTTTGTTCATTAAGTAAACTCGTGATTGCTTTTTCATTAAGTAAACTCGTGATTATCAACAACTGTTAATCCCATTTAAATAATTTTATTCTCCATACTGGGGTAGTATCTTTCAATCTCAATTAAAATACCAATCTAAATTTCCCCTTCGTTCTATTTAAAATTCACTTCCAATTGGAGAATATTAGAGTAGATATTTGGAAGAGATGTCACTAGCAGAGAATTAGGTCCTTTTTAATTTTTTTATCTACACACGTCTTAAACTCCTATTTGTAACCACATACCTATATCTTCTTATATGCTTATGAGTTCCTATATACACCTACACACACATATTCACACGAAACGACCATATGTATATTTCCATCTTTACACATATACACCTGCAGAGTAAACGCACATCCACATGTCTCCATACCTATCTCCATATATACTTATACTTACATATATACATATACATACAAGGACATCTGCATATCCATATATATTCATACGCACATCGTTTATATATATGTATATATATATATACCGGGTGTGAGAGCAAAAATGTCCAAATCGTGTAATAGCTTACGATAATTGTCCATCCCACATATCAAAAACACCACGAAATGAATTGAGTTTCTGTTTTTCAAGGTTTTCAGATAAGTCGTTTAGCCATCTTGACAACATTTTTTGTAAGAATCACTGAAAAAGCATTTCTTACGGGATTTAAAAAAATACACTGATGACATTTTTCATTTTGTTTTATTTATTCATATATCTATTCATTTTGTTTTATTTTGAAGCTAGAAAGAGAACATGTTAAAATCGTTTTTTTTTTTTTTTTTTTTTTGGGGGTCAGCCTCACGATGTCTTCCCGACTGAGCAATGATGAAATGAAAATGATCATTCAGGCCTTTAGTAATGGAACCAATCCTCCATACTCTGGATTTCATCTTTAATGCCCATTCAAGAACTATCAAGAGAACCCTGAATAAGTTTTAAAAAGAGGGAACATTAGACAGCAAAACTGAATCGGAAGGTCACAACAAGAAAAGGGATTATCATTTCAACTTATACAGATAAATATATTCTTATTGTTCAAAGTAGAGTCTAATAGTTTGATAAAAGTTCGGAGAACTCCAGTAAGATATATTTAATCATTTCTATGATACAACGTTTCAGATCTTAATCTAACAATTGGCCAACTTTGATATTACACGATTTGGACAACTTTTCTGTTACACGTGGCATATATATATATATATATATATATATAATTACTGCGCTTCAACAAAAAGGCTAACTTATATTTGTTACATTTTATTTTAAGGGAACTTTACCGAATGAACATGTAAGAAAGCATTAACTTTCCTCTATTATACCTAGATATTATCAACTTAAGCGCAGTACTGGATTACCAGAAAGGTCTCATCATTTTACAATTGAAATGGTTAGGTGTAACCGTAAGTTCTATGTTAATAGTTTCTTCTCTTGCCCTTCTTGCTGATGGAATTCTCTTCCGGTATTCCAGTCAACTTTGATCTTCATAAATTTAAATGCCATATTGTTGTAGCATACCTACGGACGATAATGGGCATGTTCCCATTCAAATAATTTCAGTAGTAAATACTGTATGTTACTCTGCAGTTGAAGATTCGTTGTGGAATTCACTTGACTAACTTCTAACAGAATTCTGGAATTCGAATTCGGCTCTCCGATTCCTTAATCCGAGCTGCTTATCTATCAATCCACCCTGACTTGGATATAAATTACCAATATGTTCACATCCCCGACTCAAGTGAATGCTTATAGACTCAAATGTAAAAAAAGAATACTACTGATACATATAGTTAATTCTTGACTCAAACTTAAATGACCAATTTTTACATATTTCCGAGCCAAGTGAATGTTTATAAGATCAAATATAAATGGCCAATATGTACTTATAAATAAGGGCTGGTAGACTCAGATATAATCAACCAGTAACGACTTATCCCTGACATAAGCAAATCCTTGTAGACGCACTTCTAAACGACTTATCCCCGAAATACGCTTAGAGTCATAAATTATAATTAGCGGTATTTATCTATGCCCAAACTCCGTAAATGTTGATAGACTTAAATATAAAAGATTGATTTCGACATTGATTAACATAAAAGGTGATGGCATGTCGTAAATCCATCCAACGCAACCAATTTAATGATGTTCGTGAACAATAATATCTCTTCGAAAGTGGGCGTTTTTTTTTTTTCAACTTAAGATGTGACGTGGGGTCCGGGAAAGGCAAATATATCCATATTGACTGATGGAAAATTGATGATCCTGGATTAGAACTGTCATTCTCTTGCGAGTCAAGCGTGAAAGATTCTAGGCAAACGAGAAATAGTAGACGTTCTCCGTAGGGTACTGAACGAATAGATGGGGTGAACGGTATCACTCTCAGAGAGGAACTTTATTTTGGCAGGACTCAAGTTCCTTCCAGATATCAAGTAGATGATGTAAAAAGACTCGACTACTTGTACCGCTCCAGAAAGAGAAAGAAAACCAACCAGGCTCTATTAATACAAGAGTCAGATCTTACGAACACAGTGTATTGCTGTTATATCTGTGCCAGAGCTGCCCACTTCGGACTTTCTAGTCTTGACAGAATTCGTTTGCCCGACCTTGGGACCGATGAATTATTTTCCACTCTTCAACTTCTTTCTCACTGACCCTCCCTCTCGGATTAATGATGGATGTGCTGCCACAGGAATGGATTCCACATCAACACCAGTTAAGGCAATCCTCATTTATTTGTTGTGTTCTGTCTATGGCGTTCTATATTAGATGGCCAAGTCATCATGCATAGACGGTAGAGAAATAAAGGCCTGTTTTAAAGCAGCAGGGCATTTTAGTAGCTATTCCGCCAGTAATTCAAAGAACTTTTTTTCTTTACGTTTGGAATATCGTTCACCTTCTTTAATTGAAGTAAGTAAATATTTATTTCAAAGTGCTATATGATTTCTTATGAAACATTTGTGTTTTTTTAAACATTAAAGTGTTTTAGTTTCCATTTTAAGAACTACCATTAAACATAGATCAGAAGGAAATGTAATTTTTTGTATTACAAAAATGAATGAAAAAACATTTCAGAATGTTTTTACTTAAATTTCATGATATATAATTATAATTAAATTCTAAATATTTAATTCAGTCTTTATTTTTGATATTGTAAAAACGTTGGGAATGTGAACGAAATTAATCCTGCTGCTCAGTCATTTTTAGCGTTTTCTGAAGGTTTTAAGAAGTATGGTAAAAAAGTTAGTTTAGTCACTGACTCAATATTTTTCTGTTAAAAGGTTAAGTTTATTATTTAATGATTTTCTCTTAAAAGTTTATTCAATGTTTTTTTTTAAAAAAGCAAACAGGCTTCGAAAACGAATTCTCTTTTTTACGCCTTGTATATTTGTTTCTAAGAGTTAAAAAAAAACGTAGGATTTTTTTTTCGACATTTTCGTTTTGTTATTGAGTGAACTGTAATGATTTACTTATAAAAATTAAAGAAATGACATTAATAATTAATATTAAAGTTAATGTCTACATTTTCACAAACGTACGTCTTTTTGAAGATGTTTTTCTACGCTTGTTTTTAAATTGTATCCTTCGAAATTTATTAAAAATACATTACAAGTATTATTTCGAAAAGTAACTTTAATATTTTTTTTCTCTCGTATTGTTATTCATGAAGAACAAATTCATTCATAAAATTATTTTTATTAGTTGTGTTTTTAGGTGAAATAAACAAATATTAATGTATCTGTCTATATTTCTGAGATGAGATATTATGTACACTATTTATAATTGACATCCATTAAACATAGCATGTTGAACTAGAACTGTCTACCCCAGTGAGCGAAATAAAGGGTTCAATTCGACATTCCAACCACTTGAAGAAAGCCGGAGCGTACAACGGCCGAAACGTTGTAATAAATATAGCGACAAAGATGAGTATAATAGTCCGAATAATGTAAATAGTGTACATAATACCTCATCTCGGAAGTATAGACAGATACTGAAGGGGCGAAACGTTGTAATAAATATGGCGACAAAGATGAGTACAATAGTCCGAATAATGTAAATAGTGTAAATATTAATGTTTAGTTTAATTTTTTAAATGTTCCATTAAAGTGGGAAATAGAACCAAATGTCACAATCTTTTTACAAAATTAATGGAAAAAAACATTTAAGAATATTTTACATAAATTTAGATGCCATCATAAATTGAATATATTTAATTCGATATTCTAAAAAAAGGCGGTGAACGAAATATTAACCATGCTGCTGCTTGCTGTTCAGTCGTTTTTTTCAGGTTCTTCTAAAATATTTATTTATTTACTCAAATCGAGCACAAGAAAGCCGAGAATAAAGTGCACAACGGTGGATTGCCTCACCACAAGACATTATCTCAAAAATAGCCAAAGCCCTCTCCCCCTCAGGCAACCGGGGGGGAAAACCCAAGTCCACCTTTAACTCAAAAGGTAGGTGTAGCCTGGGGAAGAAGCACTCTGTATGAAAGCCAGGCAATAGCCGATCTTATGTTAACAAGTGACAGAAATTTAGATACTTAATTAACCCAATAATTAATTAGAATATTATGTAATATTTTGCATCTTTTGTTAACAATATACCCAAAACCAATATAAAAAAAAAATCAATTTAAAAAGTGATCCTCTGGTTTAAGGCAACCCTCTAAAATTTGTTTTTAACTTATTATTATGGGGGAGAGATCAAAGTTGGGATTAAGAGTATAATTTGGACTGAAAAGTTACCCCTAAATTGAAGCAGTAAAAGAAATAATTGTATTTAAGAAGCTTAATCATTTCAGATACTTTAATATTTTTTCTCCAAAATTGTTGTTATTCTTAAAGAACAAATACATTCATAGAATTATATTTTTTATTAGTTGTTTTTTTTTTCTTTAGGGTAAAAATAAAATAAATAAGTTATAAATATTAATATTTTTTTAAATTTTCCATTAAAGCATAAAATAGAACCAAATGTCGTATTCATATTGCAAAATTAATGACAAAGCCATTTAAGAATTTTTTTTTTACATAAACTTAATGTCATAATAAAATTTAATATGTTGAATTCAATATTCTAAAAATGTAGTGAACGAAATATTAACCATGTTGCTGCTTGCTGTTCAGTTGTTTTTTTCAGGTTCGTCTAAAGATGACAACGAAACTAATTTTTGACACAAGAAAGCCGAGATTAAAGTGTACTTCCATTGTTCCAAAACCCAAAGAAAGACAACGGGTTTCTACTTGGCTCAGATTGTTTAAAAAAACAAAACAACATATAATGTACTTCTAACCCAGTTTGAAATAAAGGCGGACAAGAATGATACTCTCATCTTCATAAACAAGGTTTTGACATGGTGGAAAATTTTAAATGTTAAGACCTTTCAAATTGATAAACTACAAAATGACCCTCTACAAACTGAAATCAGATCTCCAGATGACAACCGACTTGATTTTATCATTTAGTTTGATCAAATAGCTCTTAATATGGCTGACAGCCAAAGTAATCGTATAAAACAATTATCCAAACAAACTGCTACTACCATACATCATACTTGCAATGGAATTGTTAGTCTATGTTGACACCATTTAGCTACAAGACATAATAAATATGTGCTACTTGGGCAATTTACAACTGATCCATTAGAAAAAAGAATTTAGTAAACTCCATCGAGGATAAGGCGGCACCTATTTTATAAATGTCCAACAGTGTATTGAAAAGCTGCATATTAAGCAGACATCTTTACTTTTAAATCAGAATATAGGTATTGATGCTTTTGGTGTTAAGCCAGGTCACCAATGTACATCTTGTGATTCTAAACTTTGTAAAGAAGGTTCAGAAATATTTGGCAATCTGGAAAATTTAGAACCATCTCTTTCTGATGAAATAAAAGTAGCTCTTGTATACATAGCTGGATATATTACGAAAAATAATAATCAACCCTGTGAATATGAGACCCCTTTTTATTATGAAAAGTATGGAAAATATACTAATTCAACTGACCGTAGATAACTAAAGGTTCTTTCATATCACACTTGTCAGTGGTTATTTTTTGTTTCATCCTTTTCCATAAATTTACTTCTTTGTTTTATCAGTGTCCAAAACAAAAATACATATTTACATTTATTTAAATTTCAGCAGGTATGAGACAAAATGTTATTCTAAGTAAGTTAAAAATAGTTAGCTTAATATTCTTGGAAATTTCATGAAAGTCAAAACGCCTCCAATTCTGACACTCAGTTGCACCATGAGCAGGCCTGGAGTATAATAAATAAGCCATAGAGGTGATGATATCCCGTAAAAAAAGATAAACCAAAGCGATGACCAGGGTGTGAAAGTTTTACTCGTGCAGCCTTGTATGTTTGGTCAATGAATGAGAGTTGTTACATTTATAAGGAAACGGCTACTAATACAAACCGTAAGAACAGATACTACACTTTGATCCAAGGAAGGAAGAAAAGCGTAAGTGGAATTTTGTTTTTTCGGTCAATGAATGCCGAATGTTTCCACATAAGGAAACGCCTAATATTATCATTACATGACTTTGGTCCTTGTTTATAATATGTGTCACCGAAAACTAATCGTAAATGAATATAAATTCTAAAAAGCATTCCTCGGCATAGAATCAGTTTTAAAGAATTTATACATTAGATCATTGCTACTTTATAGGGCGTTCGAACCTTATTGGTCCATTGTCGCCATTAGTAAACTTTACAAATATCTGTAAAGTACGGACGGTGTAAAGAAAACAAAACATAGATACTCGTTATGTATTTGAAAGATCAAACGTGCTTGTCTTCTTTTTCCTTCTTTTTTCTTCTTTTTTCTTTTTGGTTTGTCATGTCATTGTACGTTTGTTGTCTCCATCATGAAAATGAGACAAAAGAACGTCAAAAATATAAATGACAACGGATTGTATTTGTTTTATGGACTAATTCGGTAAAGTATACTTGAGCAAATCAATTAAAGAGACAGAAGCTTCTTGCACCATTAATGCTGCACAATTTACTAATGGAATCTGCGACAATCATTATAGAAAGTAAAAAATAATAATAATAAAAAATTCCTTTTTCATCAGAGTGAGAGCGAAAACGGATGAAATAGCAGAATATACTATATGTATACAATTTATAAACATCAATATATATATATATATATATATATATATATATATAATTAGTCACAGTTATTGGAACACCCTATATCTAAATTGTTGAACCTGTTTGATTTTGGTACCTGCAATTTGTAACAATCCAAGATAGATAGATATGAATTGTGCAAGCTAGCTATCCAAGATAGATAGATAGATCGATACATAGATAGATAGATATTAACAGTCCAAGATAGATAGATAGATAGATCTGAGCAGTCTAAGATAGATAGATAGATAGATAGATAGATAGATAGATATTAACAGTCCAAGATAGATAGATAGATCGATAGATAGATAGATATTAACAGTCCAAGATAGATAGATAGATCGATAGATAGATAGATATTAACAGTCCAAGATAGATAGATAGATCGATAGATAGATAGATAGATATTAACAGTCCAAGATAGATAGATAGATCGATAGATAGATAGATAGATATTAACAGTCCAAGATAGATAGATAGATCGATAGATAGATAGATAGATATTAACAGTCCAAGATAGATAGATAGATCGATAGATAGATAGATAGATAGATATGAACAGTCCAAGATAGATAGATAGGCAGATAGATATGAACTGTCCAAGATAGATAGATAGATAGATAGATATGAACTGTCCAAGATAGATAGATAGATAGATAGATAGGTTTAATATAAATATAAAATTTGTCACTTAGCAGAATGATGTTATTTTCACCATCCCGACTCTAGAGTTTCGTAGACGAACTGTCCAGTAATCGGCCCATCAAATCGTCAGGTGATGCCAGCAAATGACTGATACAAAATTATGCATATTATATTATGTATTATAACATATTTTACGTGATATTTTGATGAAACTACAATATATCTTATATATATAATTAACACATGCCACGTCACACGCACTCGCACACACATACACACATACATATTAATATACCAAAATATACTACACACACACACACACACACATATATATATATATATATGTATATAAATAAAAAGAAAGAACAGTAAGATATATAATCCGGTGTTCTTATAGGTATTTTTATTTTTACAAATAGTGCTCAATGTAAATTACAGAGCATTAATATTATAAATTAATTGATTTAAAATATGTTTTTTTTTTTCGCTACAGTTCTAACCATGTTTCAAAAAACGAAGCTAAAAGCCCTGCATTTAATTTTGTAATTAAATTAAAGACATTAGTTCCATTTCATCCTCAAGCCTTATTGCTGGGTTTTAAAGACACAGCTAAAATCAAATTAGCTGTGTCTTTAAAACCCAGTAATTTTAAAAGTTACTCCAAAATTCGCTTGAGGATGAAATGGAACTAATGTCTTTAATTTAATTGCAAAATTAAATTCGTGGCTTTTAGCTTACATTTTTGAAACATGGTTAGAACTGTGTAGCGGAAAAAACATTTTAAATCAATTTATAATATATATATATATATATTTGTAAAAAACATAACTTACAAATTTTTGAATAAAGCAATTGATATTAATTTTTCTTTTTTTTCTGTTACAGTGTATATAAGTTGACTTTGTGCATGTAATATTGGAACAATAATCCTAAATATGTCTTGGACAACCAAGGAAGACATTTTGCATGGAGGCCTATTTTGCCAACAAATCATACACTGTAGTGCAAGCAAACTCTCGGAGGAAGTTTCAGTGTCATGATGCTCCATCAAAAAGCAGAATTTTTGACTGGGTTCAGAAGTTCAGCGAGTCAGGGCCTGTGCAAAATCTGAACTCTGAAGGTCCGAGGGACACTTATTCTGGTCGGAGGGTGAGTGCTAGAACAGAAAATAAGATTGACGCCTTACGGGTCTCAGTAGGACAGAGCCCAAAGAAATCACTTGGACGACGAATTCGACAGCTGGGTATCTCTCGAGACCCTTTGAGGCATGTTCTTAAATCATATCTTCATTTGTATCCTTGCAACATTCAAATAAAGCAAAATCTTGAGAAAGAAGGACATGGGAAAACGCGTAACTATATGTGAATGGTTTTGTGACATATTTGAAGACAATCCAGACTTTTTGGATCATCTTTGGTTCCCTGATGAAGTGCACGTTCAACTTTCGGGACATGTAAACAGCAAAAACAATGTTTATTGGGGTACAGCCGCACAGAAGGATGTGTTAAAGAGGCCGTTACACGCAACAAAGTGCACCACATGGGTTGCAATTTCTAAACGTGGCCTATTGGTTCGCAGACGAAACAGTGAATACGGAGCGCTATGTGGCAGTGCCGAGGAAGCTTTGAGCATCACTGGAACGACGAAGAGGGGTAGATGGAGATGAACAGTGATTCCAGCAAGACGGGGCCACCCTCCACACATCAAATGACTCCCAATCTTGGATGAGAGAGCGTTTTCTGGAGAGCCTGATCAGCAGGAAGTGTGATGTTGAGTCGACATCGTACTCAGCGGACTTGAACCTCACAGATTTTTATGTGTGGGTGTATCTCAGTGATAACGTGTATCAGAACAACACCCAATCGATTGGTGAACTGAAGGAAGAAATCAACGCAAAAATCATGGAAATCCCCAAAGGGGAACGTTTCCGAGTAATTGACCATTTTGCGCGACGTTTGTATGTTTGCCTCCGACGCCGAGGAGCTTATTTGGAGCATATTTTGGAAAGAACGTGACTTATATGCAAAACATTCAGTTTAACTAAAACTTTGAAGAATGATCGAAAAAAGTCTGAAGTATAAATTAAATAAGCTTCTTGAAATTAACTGGAACTTTTTAGGATTTATTACAATATATTATGGGTCTTGTTTATTTTTGGTCATCCTATATGTAGACAAGGATCAAATACAACTCACACTTTACGAAAAATGTTTGTGATATTGGTATTTGGTAATGTTTTTTTTTTTTTTATAAAACTGATCGCTGGAAAATGGTAGGTTAGGTCTCTTGTTGGGCCCCAGGCGGAAATATATAGAAATCAAAGCAATAATAATAATAATAATAGTAATATTAATAATAATAGTATTAATAAGAAAAATAAAAATAATAATAATAAACATAATAATAATAATAATAATAATAAAATAATAATAATAAAATAATAAGAAGAAGAATACGAATAATAAACATAATAATAATAATAATAAGAATAAAAATAATAATAAAATAATAAACATAATAATAATAATAATAATAAAAAAAATAATAATAATAAAATAATAATAAGAAGAATACGAATAATAAAAATATAATAATAATAATAAGAATAAAATAATAATAAAAAAATAAAATATAATAATAATAAAAAATAAACATAATAATAATAATAATAAAATAATAGGCATAATAACAATAATAATACAAATAATAATTAAAATAATAAACATAATAATAATAATAAAAAATAAACATAATAATAATAAATATGATAAAACATAATAATGATAATAAACATAATAATAAAAATAAAATAATAAACATAATAATAATAAAAATAATAAATATAATAATAATAAAAATAATAATAATAAAAAAGAAAATAATAATAATAATAACAACAACAACAACAACAACAACAACAACAATAATTCTGACCATATCACTGTACGGCCATATCAGATGACCCTATCACTTTGTACGGCCATATTAATTTGTATATCTATCACTTGACAATATCACTTTGCATTTACTTCTGTATTGAAAGATCTATTTTTCATTATGGTTTTGAATACTTTTCTTTATAAATATATTTTCCCGTTTATCAATACTTGTTTAAGGTGTAGGACCCTATCACGTTGAAACCCCGGTTACTGGACGATCAATGATGATATGCAACCTGGTCAGTACTTAAATGGGTGAGTACTTGGAAATACCAAGTGCTGTGAGATTAGATGTGTTAGCGGTTCAGTGGCTCGGAATTATTAATCAGAGAGCCGAGTTGCAATTCTAATTGGCTTTGTTATATTTGCTTACGAACAAGTACCATTGAGAAAGGTATCAATCCACAACTTCTCCTCCTGGCTATGGGTTCATTAGTAAGATATGCATCACTAAATCTTTAACATATAAAAATATATATTTTCTGGCTTTAAATAATTGAAAAGGGTTGATAAACCGTAAAAAGCGAATCAATCAATATTTGTTTAGATTTTTTAAAGTTATCTTTCTTTATTTCGCGCGCCTTCGTATGTCTCGATGCCACATTTGTATGCCTCTGTTAAAACACTTCCCATATTTTTACATTTCTATCCATGTTTGGATAAAATTCGTAGCTGTATTCTTACGCCATTCTTCTTGCTGACAATAATAATATATTTTGCGTTTCTTTCCTTCCCGTTTATCATTTATTGCTTCGTCTCGAAAGTTCAGCTGTTATTTCTTTGCCTACTATCAACATGGCGTCATCTTCGTATCTTAAGGTTTTAAGATTAAGCTCTTTGTACGAAAGTAAAGTAAATTCAGTAAATAGCAATAATTGCATATACTGCATTATTTCATTTTTTACATTATTCGGACTATTGTCCTCATTTTGTCGCCATATTTATCACAACGTTTCGGCCGTTGTACGCTCCGGCCTTCTTCAGGTGGTTGGAATTTAAAACTGAACCCTTTATTTCGCTCACTGGGGCAGACTGTTCTAGTTCCACGTGCCATGTTTGATGGATGTTATCAGTTATCAGTTATCTCCTGTTAATTTCCCTCTGAAAGTTCTCCACTGCCTTAACCGGGTATTGAACTCACACTCTTTGGGTGCTGTCACTGGATCTAACCAACGCATTTATCCACTGTGCCATGTGTCCTTGAGGAAAATTAGTCAGAACCACCTGAAGAAGGCCGAAGCGTACAACGGCCGAAACTTTGTGATAAATATGGCGACAAAGATGAGGACAATAGTCCGAATAATGTAAATAATGTACATAATACCTCATCTCAGAAATATAGACAGATACTGAAAGGCCGAAACGTTGTGATAAATATGGCGACAAAGATGAGGACAATAGTTCGAATAATGTAAATAATGTACATAATACCTCATCTCAGAAATATAGACAGATACTGAAAGGCCGAAACGTTGTAATGAATATGGCGACAAAGATGAGGATAATAGTCCGAATAATGTAAATAATGTACATAATACCTCATCTCAGAAATATAAACAGATACTGAAAGTCCGAAACGTTGTAATGAATATGGCGACAAAGATGAGGACAATAGTCCGAATAATGTAAATAATGTACATAATACCTCATCTCAGAAATATAGACAGATACTGCATTATTTCAGTTAGCAGCTTAATATTTGCTTTTAGCTGTAGGTTATAACATACGTCGACCTAAAAGTACCTCGTTAGGTTATTAGTACTGCAGGGCATTTTAACTCCATTAACACCATGTGGTTTTCAGACATCTCATTTAAAATATTATACATACAGATGCATCCATGCAGACATACACAGACATATTATAAACAGTGTATTTAGCACCGTATTAACAATATATAGGACATATTTCGGCGTTTGAAATAGGTCTATAACCCATATAAGGAAAATTTTGAATTTATGGTCTACTACTATATATATATAGGAGACACGGTGGAGTAATGGATAACGGCTTGGATTGAGGAATCGGAGAGCCGAGTTCGAATTCCAGTCGAATCCATTACCTTCACATATATGCTAATACCTCTTGGGAAAGATATGAATCCTCTTCTTCTCCCTCCAGCTATGGGTAAATAGCAGCTCATACGAGACTGGGTTCTATAGCCTTGGATGGCAACTGGTCTAAGAGAAGGACAACTCTGAATTCAAAACCTGCAGAGGGTCGTTTGGGGACCTTGTGGCACGTAGTGCACCAGGTCTCTGTAATCGGCCCTTCAAAAAATGTGGTTTGTTCTGCACAAAACCTTCACCACTATAATCAAATCTCATGTGCTGGTGTCGGGTTGTCAGTTTCCTAGGAACTGATCAGCTTGACCCTGATACGTCGTATTCGACAGGGGAGTCGAGTGTATATATATATATATATATATATATATATATATATATATAACCTGACGTGCTATACCAATTTAGCTAAAGAGGAGAGTCTGGTTCCCTCGAACATTCATGTCTGCTCGATGCGTATCCAGACGTAAACAAATGACATCACACACTACGAAATGGACAAAGTTCGACAATTATTTTAAGTTATCTTCTGTTTATACGTTATTTTTATAGATACAAATATTTAAGTAAATGCTCTGTTTATGCTAAACAGTATTAAACAACATTTACCGGCCTGAATCTTCGAGAAATTGTCATAGAAAATATTCCTCCTCCGACAGGATTCGAACCTGTATCCTATACAGAATCGTCTTATAGCCTGACGTGCCTTTAACCGATTTGGCCACAGAGGAGCGTTTCGGTTAGCAAGGTCGATTTTACTGTCTTTAAACTTCAATCTTCCATGATTCTCTCACGTACATTCATATCTGCTCATGGCGTATCCAAATGTAAACAAATGGCGTCACACATTATGAAATGGACAAAGTCCGATAATTATTTTAAGAGATATTTATGTATATACATTCTTTTTATAGATACAAATATTTAAGTGAAAAAATTTAACAAATATTTAAGTGAATCCTCTGTTTATACTAAACAGTATTAAACAACATTTACCGGCCTGAATGTCCGAGAAATTTTCACAGAAAATATTCGTCCTCCATAAAAATTTCTCGGACATTCACGCCGGTAAATGTTGTTTAATACTGTTTAGTATAAACAGAGCATTGACTTAAGTATTTGTATCTATAAAAATGAATGTATATACATAAAAAATGTCTTAAAATAATTGTCAGTCTTATATAGAATCTGTAAACGGGGATTGAATAAGACTGACGAAGGTTTTGTCGCTTGAAATAGGCCTATATTCCTATATGAGGTAATTTTGGATTTTATGGTTTACTATTAATTATTTGCTCTGTATAATAAATACACTGATACCTTTTCGTGGATCAGTTTTAATATTTTGTATTACTAGGATCCACTTGGATTATATGCCAACGGATTTATTATTTTTAGTATATATATGCTTTTGGATTTAATTGTGTGATGGATTGGGGCTGTTTTTACGACCCTAATGAAAAAAAAAATAAAACATCATGAAATTTTACTGTTTGTGCCTTTTATAATAATAATTATTGCTATGTTTCTGACATAGATCTGTCCCTGGATTTATATCCTTTTGGAAATATCTATATTGTTCACTAATATTATCATTATATATATATATATATATATATATATATTTAAAAATATGATTCCAACACGCTACATAAGAGTTCTCATGTTTCAAAACAAGAGCCGAAAACTTCAATATAATTATTTGAATTAAATTGAATTAATGTAAGCACTGTTCCATCTTCAAGCGAAATTTTTTTTGGAATAACTTATTACTGAAATTTACGTGTTTTAATAGCATATTCATTATTGAAATCAAAATGTCTATGGTAACGGCTAGAGCGATTGTTTAAATAAACAGGGGTGTAAGGTGTTAATAATTTGTATCAGTATAAAGTTGCATACACAGACGTCTGACTTGACATCTGTGAATGTAACATAATTTGTATCAGTATAAAGTTACATTCACAGATGTCTGATTCTAATGGAATAAATTATGACTCTGGAATATTAGTGTTTAAGCCTTTTTATTATATATATATATATATATATATATAAGGTGACCAAAAAAAAAACGGGAACTTCTTAACAATCCAATAAAACCAAGAGTGATGGAAGAAGAATATTTTATTCATAGTAATTGAAACCTTAAAACATGCCATTTAAGAAACAATGATGGAATTTTCATTTTTTTTAAATTACGTCCTGTAGATGGCGTCCTCCTGTACGAATGCATTCTTGAAATCTGCTGTTGAGATTCCTCATTGACTGCTGCAACATCTCAGCTGGGATACTGTGAATTTCATCTTGAATTCTAAATGGCGAAATGTTTACTTGCTCAAGGTCACTGTCTCGCAGTGTTGCCACTTGCACATGTCTGGCAATACACACTTCAAAAATTCCCATGTTATTTTGGGGCCACCCTGTATATATCATAATTTATCCAGTCTAGAACAAGAATCCTCAACAGAATGTAGAAAGCACTAGACAGCCATTTCATCTTTTGGGGGACTCATCAGCAGCGGGCGTTCAGTATCGAGAATCAAAACCGTACCATTGCGTTGTATCGTCTGCTTCAGTGAAAATAGAAAACTTCTTGATTTTTAAAATGTTTTATTTCTAGCCTCTTACTTCCTTAAGTAATGACCCGTATTCAATGTTGTGCTTCTATTGCAGTATTTGAGTTAGCTTGTTAAGCACAAATATTTAACGAAACAACAGAGGAATATCCACTCGCCAGGAACTTAAATATTATGATTCATCAAAAATATCTAATTAGCAAAACCGTGACATTTTTAAAGGAATTTATTGTTCTTCATGTTACGCCTATGCCTATCCTGCAGTCAATACAGCAAAATACTTTTCAACGCTTCTTCCTGGACAGATTCCGAGTCCTGTTTTAAACTATCGATGCACGTGACAGGATTTTCACCAGGCTTTCTCTCTCCGGGCTGAGAGTACCATTGGACCAACTTTCACAAGTCCTCTTCGGGATGTCATGCACAATATCCTGATATATTTTCCATAAAGCATCGTAAACGTAAAGGTGAAAGCTAAGTAAAGAAAAAAAATAGAGCGCTGAAAGTTTTCCTTAAAAATAACGAGGTAAATTTGTTCACTTAAATCTAAATAATTTCACTTCTCTCCTTCCGTAGAATAAATTATCCTCACGTAAGCTTATCATACGTCATGACAATGTCTTTCGTCACCTGTCAAGTGGTGCGTAAGTTTATGACCTGCTTTGTTTTATTTTCAATCTTTTCGGCGCAGAAACTAAGTTAAGCTTGTTTCAAAATATTTTAAATAAACATTATAATTTCTTTCTTAAAATAAGTTTAAAAAAAATTATAATTGATTTTTAAAAGAAGTTAAAACTGAGATTTTCATTTTTTTTAATGGAAAAAATGCTGACATGATTGATTATCTGTCAATTTATCTGACTCAAAAAAAAACAAGATTTTTAACGAAAATTTTGGACGTGCTAGTAACGATTAAAAAATGTAAAAAAAATACCCCCAAATTACTTTGATCTTTCCTCTTAGTAATGATATAAATATTTAGACGATAAAGTTTTGTTTTCGTCAAGTTTTGCGTCTTTTTCGTCATGCTATGCTCTTTTTTAGCGATTTCATGAAGGTACCTACTATTTACATTGTTCGGACTGTTGGCCTCTTCTCCGTTTGCCATATTCACGACGTTTTCCGGCCTTCTTCAGGTGATTAGAACAATTTACACCGATGGACAAAGTAAAGGGCTCGGTTCAAAATTCCAGTCACCTGAAGAAGGCCGGAGCGTACAACGGCCTTAACGTCATGAATATGGCAACGAAGAAGAGGACCATTGTTTGAACAATGCATTATTTTTTTACAAAATAATTTTGCAAAATCAAACGAGAAGTATAAACTTATTTCTCCTTACAAGAAATGAGATTAATCACAGCAATTGTCTTTTCATTTTTTTTTCGACAATGCCATGACTATAATTTTAATATAAAATGTATTCTTGGAAATTTTGCTATAAAAAATGTATTTGATGTATATTTTTGCTATAAAAAATATATTGTTGGACACGTTTGTTATAAAACTGTATTGTTGGTCATTTGATATGAAAAAATAGTGTTTTCAATTTACTATGAAAATTTATTGTTAGTCATTTTGCCATAAAAATGTATTTTGGCTCTTTTTCCGATAAAATATATTTTTCGTCATTTTCCTTTTGAAATATTGATTATTTATAAACATGCAAAGCTCGTCATTTTAATTTAAGAGTATATAGTCATACTTTTCTTGTATTTTGCTTTGTTTTTTTTGTTTGGAGGTTTTCAATATTTTCGTATAGCTAGGACCCTAACACTCTGGGCTAGGGTGAACCTGAGAATAAGAGCAATTAAGAGGTTTGTCCACCCTCCTCAAAAACCTCCTATCACTAGTTCTCGTCTCCTTTCATCATATTATAATTCTACTTGTTCCTTACTTAGCCCAGCCGACACCGAATAAATAATGAATTATTCCGTTTTGAACACGAGCTAAAACAGAAAAAGAGAAATCAGATACACTGTTTTCATAGATAGATAGATAGATAGGTAATGAACAGAGATAGATAGATAGATAGATAGATAGATAGATAGATAAAGAAGAGGCATAGATAGATAGATAGATAATGAACAGGCGTAGATAGATAGATAGATAGAGATACAGGGGAAGAGAATAAAAAAGAAATAAATTAAAATGGAATATATATATTTAATATTTTCATCTGTATCCTCTTATTTCATTAAATAATAATCTTCATTCATTCTTATGATTGTGTTGTGATGAAATAACCTGACTTCCCCATTCACCATAAATGGACGTTCCGGTGGCCGATAAAGTTCGACCACAGTAAACAGAGGAGGCTCAACAGAGCGACAACAGTCAACAGGTGGCCACGAGTCTGATCTTCCTTTCACACTCGTAGCAGTTTTTGGCTGGTTTCTGGTTATTTTTTGGACTTTTGCGGACAACTCGACCTTTTTTTTGTGTGTGATTTTACCTGTTACCCTTTGGAACTGCATTTTGTTTAAAGTTTGTTTATTTTATTTGTATATTTACGACCTTATTGTAAAAGTTTTTGATTTTTTCTTTCTACACTCCATTTTTTTCACCCTCCCCCTTTAATTTTTTCTCTTTATTCTGTTTATTCTAGTTTTCCTATTTTAATTTTTACTCCCTTTAATTTTTACTCGTTTTCCTTTTAATCTAATTTGCTTTTTTGAATTTCGTTTTTTCTCCTGTAATTTCTGCAGTTTTTTCTTCTCATTTCTACCCCTTTTAATTCTAGTTTTTCGTGTTAATTGTCATTTTCTTTATTTTCGTCCTGTTCGTTATTCTGTGTTTTGCTGTAATTTCTTATTAATTTATTTACTTGTTTTCATCCTTTTAATTTTTACGTGTTTTTTGCTTGTAATCGTTTTAATCTATTTTCTTTTGTTTATTGGTTCGACTCGCTTAGGGTCGGCCATTTTTATTTTTTGTGTCTAGCTTCGTCTGTGTTAGTTACGTATTTTTTTTTTGTTTATTGACGTCGGCCATTTTGGATATTTGTAATTAGCTTTGTGTTATTGTTTCGTAATTTTTTGTTGACGTCGGCCATTTTGATTTTTTTTAGCTTCGGCTTTTGTCGAAGTATTTTCTGTTTTTTTTTTTTTTTTTTTGTCTATTACGTGTTTGTCTTTTCGCCTTTAGGCGATATTTGTATTTTATTATACGTTTAGGTGAACCGTCTAATTGTTTTTTTGGTGTCCATAATTATTTTATTTTGTTGAGTTTATTTTTTTCCTCTCGCCCATATATTTATTTCCCATTTCCCCACCCTCCCCATTCCCCCACCCTCCCCATTCTCCCCTTTTTAAATATGGATAAGAAGGAAAAAAAGTACCTTCTTTTTTAATTGTAAAAAAGAAAATTAAAAATGCTTCTTTTAAAAGTATAAGAAAACATTTATTTAACCCTAAGAAGGACCCCCCCGATAAAGACAATAAGGAGGAATATCCTGACCTCCCAAGTGTTCCCACAAACGAGGAAATTGTGGAGACATTGAAAAAAGCCTCCAAAAATATGGAAGCTGAAAAAAGTGAAAATTCTGACAAAGAATCGGACAACACAAAAACTAATGCAGAGGCCGGGGAATCGCCCTCTTGTTGGAAGTCCCCTCCTAAATGCATAATCAATTTAGTGGAGTTCTTGGAGCGTGCCAAGAGTTACGCCCACCTTGTTGTTGAAGGTGGTCTTTTGGAAGACCCCCAAGTATTAAAGAGAATTGATAAAAGAATAGTGTCAGTTTTCGTCGTGGACAAGCGTACGCGCAAAATTTGTCGCTCGAAGAAAAACACAGTGTTGAAAGCACTAGAATCCTTCGGGTTCAAGCCCCTTAGAATAGTTAAGGGTGCTAAATTTTTCATGTGGGACGTACTGTTGCCCACACCAGAAGATTGCGTCGCCGCGGCTAGCCGCGAACTAATCAATAACGACTTGATACTGCGTACGGAGTACGAGGTCCCTCCTCAGGTTATCGGGGAACATCTGGCCGCTTTCTTCTCCCAGTATGGCGAGATTCTGGGAGTTTCCTGTGATAGCCTGAATGGGGGGGGTGGAGCTTTGATATCATGTTGGACGAGAAGGCCTTCCGCTCCATCCCCAACTGTCTGGATGTTGGCGCTTTGAAGTTACCGGTCATAGTGACGGGTCGAAGACCGGTATGCTGGAGGTGTGGAGGACTGGTCATCTCTCCTCCTCCTGCCCAGAGAAGAAGGCCTCTGGAAGTCAAGCGCCAGTTACACAAGATCCCCCTCTGACCGCGTCTCAAAATTCCACCTCGCCTGTAATGGGCGTACCAGCCTCCGGGACCGGGTCGGATAATCCTCCGGTCGGCGCGTCACCTAAAGCCACATTCCCCAAAGAGCCTTCGCCCGCTGCCGGTGCAGTTGTGGAGAAGGGGAGGGGAATGGCTGGTTGCTGGTAAGCCAGAGGGAAGCGCCGGACAGCGGGTCCTCAGTCCCTGAAGCCCCAAGGAAGAAGGGCACTCACAGTCCCACTCCCACTAGCAACGTTAAGGGCGATGCTCCGGCCTCAAATCTAACGTTCAAGGAAATGCAAAAAAGTTCGACCCCGGATACGAAAAGTCTGAAAAGTTAAAAGCACTTAAAAACAACTGGATTCAAAAAAGGAAAGATCCAATCCTTCATCGTCTCCTGCTAGTCCCTCCCTTCACCAAAGAAACAACCCCCACCTTCACCCATTTCACCATCCAAAGCCAAAACCCACAGCAGAGATCCCAGCCCCTATAGACACAGGTCATTTCACACCCCTATGAATACTCCCACTCCTTCTCCCGTTAAACAAAAATCTACCCCCCTTCATACCCCCAAGCAATCACCGGCAAAAAATGCCGAAATGCCTCCTCCTGCTACAAAGCGGCATAGAAGCCCCACTAAAGAGGAAAGGAAAGATAGGAAAAAAAAAGTTCCTTTACAACACTGGCGAGGAGGTGTGCCGGATTTCCCCAGCACAGGCAGAGAGAGCCAAAGATTATGGCAACAGGGTGAAAGACTTAAAAATATCTGCTCTCTATCAAACAGTTTGGAGACAAAATATTGAGGATCCAAATAACTTCCCAAATGCCCAGAGGGTCCTGACTGTTATTAGGTCAGGACCTGCGGCCAATCAAACCTGGGCGATGGTAGAAGAAGCAGTGAACACATGCAAGATGGCTTTCTACCCATCGCCATCGTGGATAATGAAAAATTAAAAAAGTTACAACAGTTCTGTTCAGGGAGGGTCCCCATTTTAGTTCACCCATCCCTATATAGAGCTCTCAAATTGACCTTCCCTGGGATATCGGCGGTATCTCCCAAGACGGCTCCATCAAGAATGAGATGGGCCATGGGTCTATGGGAGAGGCTGTCGGTATCCTTACCCCGGCCATGTTTAATCCTGGTAAACAACCCTAATCGGACTTTCTCATGGCTCTCTGGTTAGCTACTTTAAATGTGCGGGGCCTGAGGTCCGAGTCTCGCAGGGCGAGGCTCTCTCGTGACCTTCAGCGCCTCGGGGTGAATGTTTGTTGTGTGCAAGAGACCCGGTTTTCTTCTCATGACTATGAGGATATACTGTCTAAGGGGTTCGCCCTTTATTCAGCATGTTTTGATGGTCGTTCGAGGGGTGTCTCTTGGCTAGTGAGCAAGTCTTTGAAGGCTGCATGTTCCCTTGTCTTCGCAGATCCGGCGGGCAGGCTTTGTGTGCTGGATGTTACTATAAAGGATAAGGCTTTACGTCTCATTGGGGTTTATGCGCCCAATTGTCATGCTGAGCGGCCTGCTTTGTTTCGGCAGATCGAGCCGTTTTGACGACTTCTCGTCGGGTAGTCTTAGCGGGGGATTGGAATGCCGTCCTTGACCCTGAGATAGATCGCATAGGTAAAAACCGGGTACTAAAAATCCTGATGTGAAGGCATTTCGGGACTTTATCGGCAGGTTTGATCTTGTCGATAAGTACCGGAATGAGCACCCTCAGGAGGTAGACTGGACTTGGACAACTAGTGGCAACTCGGATCCTGGCTCGCTTGCGAGCTACCTGACCGAGTGTTAGTTAGAGAGTCGATGTAGGGCTCTTAGAGTGTCCAAGTTTCCACTATATAGTTTATACGGATCATAGGCTTGTCCGGGTCCGTGTAAACTTAGATAAGCCTAAGGTTAGAATGGCTGGTTACTGGAAATTTAACTGTTCATTATTTGGTGAGCAGGATTTCCGGGACCAGCTGCTACTAATGATTCAGAGGGAATTGACGGGGGCGGTTGTGGGTAACGCCTGGTGGGGGAAAATTAAAATAAAAAATTAGAACGTTTGCTGCCGATTTTAGTCGTCGACTCAATCTAGATAGATTAGCGGCGCAAACGGCTTTAGAAGATAAAGTTGATCGGGCCGTGAAATCCCGTGTTAGTGGGGACATAGTCTTAGCTAAGGCAGAGTTGGCCTCCTTGCTTATCAAGAAGGATCAAGCTCTGGTAGTTAGGGCTAGGCTAAAAAGAATGTCTTCTGAGGCGACGAATATGGCCGCAGAATTGCGTGCAGAGGAAAATCGGAACGCGGATAAGCGACATATAGCGTGCGTCACATTGCCGGATAAGCGGACCGTGACTACAAGCGCGGGCATATGCGAGGCCTTTCGGCTTTACTTTCAGGATCTTTTCACCAGGGAGCCCGGTCTGAGCTCGGCTCAGTTCGACGCCTATTTGGCTGACTTTCCCTGCCTTGAGGCAGCTGAAGCGGCTAGGTGCGAGGGTCCCATAACAGAGTCGGAAATCTGGGATGCGCTGAAGCAGGTTGGCCTGGATAAGTCTCCGGGACTAGATGGACTTCCCTACGAAGTGTACTTGAGGCTGTCGCCCATTTTGTTCCTTTGCTGCAGCTGATTTACAACCACTGGATGAGGCAGGGGTCTTTACCCCGACGCTTCACCAGGGTGTGATCAACTTGCTGGACAAGAATGGTGGGGATGGGTTAGGGAACTTTCGCCCTTTGACGATGTTAAATACTGACTTAAAGATTTTGGCGAAGATCTTAGCCAACCGTTTGCAGCTTGTCCTGTCTCGTCTGATTGGCCCCG